CCACTCACTATCTTTGCCTCTCCACCTCTCGGACCCAAGATCGCCACATTTTTCAATGGTGCATCCGGCTCTCAATCACTCCTTCCACCTCTAACCACTTACACTTTAAATTTCAAACACATAATCATGCACTTGTGTTGTAGTCCAAACAACTGGCTCTCAATTTCATGCACTTGTTCTGTAGTCAAAACAAATGGCTCTCAATTTCAAAAGTAAGACATGCATAAAATAAATTTCACTTCTTAGTATACATAATAACACAAGAAGCAGCGAAGTGGAACTTGACCAGTGTCAATCTCAAAATCTTTTGGTGGAAAACACATAAATAACATCTCTATCTATGTAAAATCACGGTAACCGAAAGACCACCTTCTTAGGAATTGTAGACTCTCAACAAGGATTTCATTGTTTCTCTCCCCATTGCCACATGGGTATCATAAAGAGTTAAAATGTTACAAGTGTTAGTGTTGAATAATCCTATACAAGTCTATAATAAAATATTTGCTGACGACCCTTAACATTTCCAAAACACTCATGGCTTTCGAAAATTCATGACAAAAATTATAAAATTATGAACAAAAAATAGTACAGAGTAAGTATAATTAAATTTAAACTGAACTTGACTAGATTCAAAATCAAAACTGAACTCATGGCTTCTGTAGCAAAGAATGGAAGGCAAGGATGGAAATATCCTTCCAACTGTGTGCCGGGCAAGAAATGGGTACCGTATTGCCCATGGACTCGCTAAGATTGAATGTCTGTTTTTATTCATTCATTGTCAGAATGATCATGTCTAATTTCCCAAAATTTCAGAAACATTTCTAGTCACAAATGACTGCTAACGGGAATCAATGAATACAAATCCAAGAGATATACCAAAAAAAGTACGTACCTATATAATATCATATGATCATGATAAGCACACCCCATTCACCTCATGACAACTATATATAAGTGTAAGGCTCCTATAACATATATTCATTTCAGATTTATGAGGCTATTTGATGCACCATCTATATGCAAATATATTAGATAAAAGACGGCTGAATTCCCAATTAACATTTGCACCACATCTTATGAAGTATTGTCGTACGATCAAGCACCAAATTTTGAATACTGCACCATGACCATAAATATTACCTAGCATGTTGTCACAAGCACACGCATGGCCCGCGGCCATAACATATCCACACAGGCGACACACATCACACCTAACCGAACACAGGAAAAATCTTGCAATGTGGAGAATCAGCGAATATGATACCCCAAGATCTTAGCTGACATATTAGAAGCCACACTACCGAACCAACATCATCTAAACCAACATGAAAGCCATCATCCTCAACACTCCTTTATTATGCAGAACAAATTTTGACACATCGCCAGGTGTCTCTGAAAACAAACAAGACCAAGATCAATACAACACACCACATGCCTGCAAAATTCAGAACAAGCAAATCTAATTCAAACAGAAAAGAACGAGGGCCAGCTGACCAAATTATTCTAACAATTCTGAAACAACTCATCATTTGAAAACAGGCAAACATCTTATTCTTATGGCGCATCACGTCCCACTGACTTCGATCTGAGAATAAAAAGGAACATAAACAAAAAAAATTGTGAGGGCAAAGGAAAGAGAGAAAGGGGAGCTCATCACCTACCATGGCCCAAAGCAGGGTAAGGTCCCGCCACTGCATCCAGTACCGTCCATGACGTTGTCTGGTACTACACGAGTTGTTCAGATGTCTTCAATTTTTTTGAGTTCACGGCGCCCGTTAATCAGGCGACCGCAGCGGTGTCCCATATGCCCGTCAGAGTCGTCTCCCAGTCTCGCGCCATGGGCTCAAACGGCGGTGGAAGTGAGGCATGGAATCAAGTGGTGGTGGTGGCTAGTGGAGATGTGAGATCAACTGGATGGCCCGGCCATGGATAAGGCCTCCTCCACCACCGAATCACACCATCGGCTGCCACGTCAGGGCAGGGCCACCCTGCACCAGCCGCCCTCCATGGCTCCCAGCTCTGACCGGACCTCCTCCGGCCAGGCCACCACCTGACCTCGTGTCCGCTCTTCTGAGGCTGGGGACATCCGCCTCAGGTGCCTAGCCAGCCGACCACCAGATCCCATCTGCTCAGCCTGACCTCTGCCAGCCGACGGCCACCTTACCATGGATGTCGAGGTTGCATGGCCGAGGTGCGTGGGCACCGTGGAGGCTGCTTGATGGTGCGTGCGGGCAACGACTGCTACGGCGAAGTGGAGAGGGTAGCAGGGTGACGGCGGCATGGTGAGTCGGTGAGCAGGGGTCGTGCGCCGTTTTTCGTTAGAAAGAATGCCTCATGTCTGATTCGGCTGACAAATAGATGGAAATAATGCCTCACATATCTGATTAGGAGATCCAGGATTGGCTATTTTGATTCCTAATTAATGTGATTGAGCGATTTAAGGTAAGGTTAATTAATTTAGATTTGATCTTTAATGATTGATCGTGATTGATTCTTTCACATAAAGACATTACTAAATAACGTGCGTCAGCATGGAAAGTTCTGATCCGTTCAGATTTTTTTCATTGTGTGAGAGGGTGACACGAAACTAAACAGGTGGGGTGGGGGAGGGGACGAAAAAAAAAACAGCGAAATAATACGGACGAAAGTGGTGGGACGAAAATAAACCGTGGATACTATTCACCAACTCAGACATTAGGAGTAGAGATTCATATTTTTATATCTCTTCTCACGGCAATTTTTAACTTTTTATTTAAAAATCTTTGCATTTTCGTAATATTCATTCCTCCATTCATCTAAAGCGCTCGTGTCAAACAACCTCTTCTCTTCGGCTAACTGTAAATTATAATTTATTTGATTGACATGCATCCCAATAAGCTTTCTGATCTAGTTCTAAAAGTAAATGACATGTCTATAAAGCATTTTTTTTATTATGACATACCCATAAGATTTTTTGTGTGTCATTTAATTTCTCTGACCAATCCTTCTTTGAATATTAATAATGTCTTACAAGATTAATTTGATCTCTCTATTTGTTAACTCTACTTACCCACTAGATCGAGGATGATACTACTTTGTGATTTACATCATACTTAGCTTCCAGCTTCCGTGCCTTTCCTCGAGGAAAAAGAGAGAATTTTTTCCTAAGGCCCTTGCGGAGTTTACCTAAGGATGGTTGGTAGTTACAGAGTGTCTTCTTTTTGAGGAGTTTATTTTGGGGAGCACTTGGCAAAGTCCTTGTTTACCGAGTACCCACAGAAAAGAACTCGACGAGCAGCCGAGCACTCGGCGCAGAACCTTTGTCCCGTAGTGGCATATCTAACTCTAATCTGAATCACTAGGCGTTTCAAAAGAATCAGTTCGGATATCACACCAAGAACTAATAATACGAGGCAGAAGATTACTAAACATGTTGGAGCAGGGATAGCATAATGTGCCTGATGCATCCACCCAAACAAACAGCATACGTAGGATGCAGTTCATCATGAGTTTCTCGGTGACTATGGTTGATCATCATAATTCACAACCATACCAGATAACTGTTACGCCATGCAGAACAAGATTAACGAACTGGGATGCACACATTTATTAATCTAGATTATTATCCTATGATCGAAGCAAATGCCATCACAGAAAATGATTAAACACATAGTAGTAGCGTGTTCAAAATCCCAATTTTTGACATGCTCCGAAACTGCAATTCGATTCGGTTGTCCCACAGAGACAAGATGCATGTCAGCATCACACTACCAGATTACAATTACAAGCTAAATTAAGAATATCCACGGTCCTCAGGAAATTAAACACAGATATAGTAGCGGCAGATTATGCAGATCAAGCTTAACTGATACCAATCAAAAGGTTGGATGAACTAGAGAGGCTAGATAAACTAAGCAATTGATAAGAACTCAATCGGCTTTGATCAACAATGCAACTGAAACCAATGTACGCTAGTTCTACCTTCAGGCACATTAACTAGGGACATCAGGCCACCACACATAATGACACAATTAGGCACCAGGTTTGGATGAACAGGGACATCAAGCAAACTGTGCCTGATCGATGCTCCCAGTCCCAAATAACCAACATGTACTAGCTACGAAGATTACCAAACATGGTAGTAACATCACATATAACGTGATTAAAACACACAACAGATGCAATTTTATCGTGCAATTCGATTCGATCGTCCACGAACAAAGATGCAGCTTCGGCATTGAACTAGTTCGGTAGCTCCTGCAATTCGATTCGATCGCCCCACAGATAAGATGCAGTCAACATCACACTACTACTATACTACATTGATTATCCCTAATTGATGACGCTAAGATAGATTGCATCCGGATCATAGTAGTATATGAGCAGGTTAGTCTGAAGGACCCAACTCAACTGAAGCCATAAGTAGTCTGCAATGCATGATGAACTATCTAGAGATCATAGATGAAGTCAACCACTGGTATATATGCTAGGAGGAGTATGGCTTAATTCCATCAGCAATTCATGGGATCCCACCCCCCTTCGATCGATCAGGTGAAGTTGTAAGCTGGCTAATCTGTTGATGGGTCAGCTGAAGTAGTGGGCTGGCTAATCTGCAGTGAGATGAACATGATGAATCGAACTGTCAGATTGATGCTCATGCCGGTAGATTCTACAGTAAGAAGGAAGACGAGAGAGATTTGGAGTTTGGACCTCAACTCCGAGGTAGGCGTGCTTGTCGGCCAACTCGGTGAGGCGGGCGACCTCCTCGGGGTCGGCGAAGCGGGAGAGGACGGTGACAGCGTGGTCGATGTGCTTCACGGCGAGGTTGGTGATCTTGTTTGCGCGGCGCAGGTAGTCGAGCGCCTTGTGCACGTCGCCGCTGGCTGCGCGACGGGGCTTGCTGCTCTTCTTGGCGGCGGCGTCCGGGCGGTCGGCGTTGGCGAGGCCCTCAGCGTCGGCGGAGGCGGCATCAGGCGCGGGCTTGCCGGGGACGGGGGCCTGGCCGCCGACGAGGCACTCGACGCAGCGCGGGAGGTGGTGCTCCTCGAGCATCTTGACGGCCAGGAGGGCGGCCTCGAGGCGGGCGAAGGCGTGGGCCTGGGTGGTGGGGCGGGGCGGGAGCCGCTGCGCGAGCAGCGCATCGTAGAGCTGCTCGTCGGGCATGAGCGCGAAGGCAATGTTGATGGCGGCTATGGCGTTGCTCTCCACGGCGATCTCGACGCAGCTCCCGAGCATCTTGGCGCCGGCCTCCAGGCCGAGGTAGTAGACCTTGATGACGTCCGAGCCGAGCTCCCCGAGCCTGGCGTCGGCGTCGGCGTCGGCGGGGGCGGGGGCGGCCGCCTTGTGGCGCTGCAGGCGGCGGTGGAGCTCCAGGAGGCGGTCGCGCTGCGCCCGCACGTTCTTGGCGGCCATCATGGCCTGCGTGAGGACCACTTCCAGGTCCTTCTTGCTCACCTGTCTCGCCATGGCCATGGCCGGAGGTGAGTTCTTGGAGAGGAGAGGAGAGGAGAGAAAGGTTGGGGTTTTCCGAAGAGGCGAGCGGCAGAGAATGCGGGTACGGTGAAAAGAGGACGGAGGGGGGGCACGTGTCGAGGGGCTATTGGAGAGAGTCAGGGCAATCCTGCTCTGCAGGTGGGCCCACCAGAACCGCGTCTCAGCCTGCACGTTGACGCCTTTTGACCGGGGTGGCGTGCTCCCTCCGCTACCACTACCAGACGTGCAATTTCAGAAATTTGGACAAAGGTGGCAGATGAATAGCATTTGGGAAATGCCATCAATAGTACCGTGAAACCTCTCTCTCTCCGGGGCTTTTACGATGAAATCAAAATGTCAAGCCATATTATAAAAAAATTGTTGGATTCGTATTCAAATGTATTTTTTTGAAATTTTTTTGCTACGTATAAATTATATTTGATTAGTTAAATTCACTATAAAAATATGACCAAATACGAGGACTAGTAACCCGGACGGAGGTAGTAGCACAACATCGCTGATTTACCTCCTCCCAACAAGCTCACGCCTCCCCCGCCACCTTTCTCCATTCGCCACCTCCACAATGAAAAGGGACAAGGATCTAACGGTTCCGTGTCGATGCTGGTAGCTGGGTTTTTTTATTAAGGTTTTCATCCTTTGTCGTCGGTGGTGCGGTGATGGAGCTATCGTCGAACATGGAGTAAGGCTTCCCTGGCTCATTCTCGCGCTAATGGTGTTTTGCGTTGTTGGGAGGAGTTTCCCTTGATCTGGTTCTCCGAGTCGGTTTTTTTATTCCGTGTGTTCGTTTCGGTGGCACTGTCCGGCAGAGCAGATGGCATGATTGTGTGTTTTGGTCATCCAGCTTCAGTTTCGACCGACAAAGGTTGGCTAACTTCGACCTCATCATAGAGTGTGTAAGAGTTGTGTTCCTTAACCTGTCCGGGCTATACAACGTGGTGATTATCAAATTGAAAATTTGAGTGATTCAATGAATTGACCAACATGTATAGCAACAAGAAGCAAAACTTATGGTCTCCATGGTTGACGAGCCTGATGGCCACATTGTCTCTGCTCGTGCAACCGCACCGCAAAACTTCATCTCGGTTCGGAGATGGTGTATCTTAACAAATAACACCAATGCAACTAATTAATTATTCCATAGAAAAAATCCATTGTTTTGATTTTGTTTTAGCTTTTATTTCATTATTTCTTCTAAATGGGTAATACCAATGCAACTAATTCTTAATTCCTTAGAAAAAATCATTATTCCATAGAAAATTACATTATTTTGATTTTTTAAATTTTTATTTAATTTCCTTTCTTCTAAAAGGGTAATACCAATGCCACTAATTGATTCTTCCTTATAAAAATTCATTATTTTGATTTTTTAATTTCATTTTATTTCTTCATTAATGGTAATATTAATGCCAACAATTTATTTCTATGTAGGAAACCTTTTTTAATAAATTTCAGTAATATATGCTTATCCTTGCATATTATGAAGAAAATCTAATTTCTCTGTGAATTATGTGCAAAAAAATTCATTAAGTGTTTCAATATTTTTATTTTCTTTTTGGGAAGAGTAATATCAATGCCACTAATTCATTATTCCCTAGAAAACTTTATTAATTTGATTTTGTTTTAGTTCCTTATTTTATTCTCTTTCTTATTTAAGGCTAATACCAATGCCACTAATTCATTCTTCCCTAGAAAACTTTATTGATTTGATTTTGTTTTAGTTTCTTATTTTATTCTCTTTCTTCTTTAAGGCTAATACCAATGCCACTAATCCATTCCTTCTTAAGATACTTATTATTCGCAAACCCCACTCTATATGCTTATTCTTGCATATTAAAAAGAAAAAACAATTTCTATGTAAACCATGTGGAATTTTTGTCATTACTTGTTTTATTTTATTTATTCTCCAAGGGTGTTTACCAGTGCCACTAATTTAGTCTTCTTTAGAAAATTTACTTAGATTTTTCTTTACTTTTTTTCATTTTATTCTTCGAGGGCAATACCAATGACACTAATTTATTCTTTTTTTAGAAAACTGAGTTTTTCAGAAATTCCATAGTTATATGTTATCCTTGCATATTATAAAAAATGTAATTTCTGTGTAAACTGCGGACAAGTTGTGTTATTATTGTTCAAAAAAATTCTTTTTTTCTTAAAGGTGATACCAATGCCACTAATTCATCCTTTCTTCGAAAACTTAATTATTTTAACTTTCTTAGTTTTTATTTTAGTTTCGTTCTTCTTTAAGGGTAATGCGAATGCTACTAATACATCCTTTGAACGGAATGTTTTTTGACGAATTTCAGTATTATATACTAATTATTGCATATTACAGAAAGTCCAATTTTCCATATAAACAGTGTGGGCAAATTTTGTTATTTTTGTTCACTTTCTTTTTTGAAAGGGCAATACCAATTGTACTAATTCATTTTTTGGGGAACTTCTTTTTGTGTGAATTCAAGTATTGGATGTTATTTTATGCATATTATGAAAAGCACAACTTGTGCAAATAATTTATTCTTTTTTTAGAAAACTGAGTTTTTCAGAAATAAACACTATTTTGATTTGTTTGTGAAATAAGTGACACTCATTTACCCTATAAGTGCACATAGCTCCGCTATTGCACAAGTTGTGCTTTTGATAATATGCATAAAACAAACATCCAATACTTGAACTTTGTTTCATTTTTATTTTATTTTATTTGTTCTTATAGGGTAATACCAGTGTCACATATTCATTATTTCTTAGAAAACCTTCATTGTTTTAGTTTTTCTTAAGTTTGTATTTCTTCTTTATTGGGGCTTTTAAACATGGTGGAACTTTGGAAGGAAGGGAGGGACTTCCGTCCTGGTTTATTAGAGAAAACAATGAAGGATTTTTTTGTAAGGGCTGAGATAGAAGAAAAAAGTAGTCACTAGCACCCCAAACAATCATATTTTATTCTCTGCCCCCCTACCATTCTCTGCTAGCTCCGCCACTGAACTTGTGTGTAAATCGTGTGCAAATTTCTTCGTTATGTTTTATTAATTTTCATATTGAAGGGTAACACCAATGCCACTAGTTCATTCTTTCTTTGAAAAGTTCATTATTTTGATTTGTTTCATTTTTATTTTATTTTATTTGTTCTTATAGGGTAATACCAGTGTCACTTATTCATTATTTCTTAAAAAACCTTCATTGTTTTAATTTTCTTAAGTTTTTATTTCTTCTTTATTGGGGCTTTTAAACATGGTGGAACTTTGGAAGGAAGATAGGGACTTCCGTCCTGGTTTATTAGTCCCTTTAGTATTTTGTGTCAAATTTTGACCATAAATTTAACTAAAATAATAATAATAATTCATGTCACTGAAAATTATATTGTTTGATTTGTATTTGAACATAGTTTACAATGATATTATTTTTTGTTACATGCATTAATATATTATTAATTAAATATAAAGTTAAAATTTAGCACAAAATATGAAGGGACCAATAAAACAGGATGGAGTACTCATGTGGCATCACATCACATCAAATCTCGAAATTCAGTGAGATGACCCTTGGTTTATTCGTTCAGCTCATGGCCTCCCGTGGCATCATATCACATCAAATCACATGAAGCACCGTATCATCTTGAAAGAAAAAGCATCTTGTACAGTGTAGCATATCTCTACTACTAGTACCTGTGACCGTAGGTCCGTAGCCTCAACAGGACTTTACCACCTTGGCTGTCAAAGTGGGGTCAAAAGTTGTCATCCATCGTACTGGCATGGCACTGGTAGCAGTCCCGTCCTGCATTCACTGTACACCCCATGGAAAATATAGTACCTCTGCCTTGCCGGTGATCTGATCATCACATTCTCACCTCATCCGGTGGCACAAACAGCGAACAGCAAACACCTTGAGAAAGTGCTGCTTGGATTAAATTTAGAGGTAATAGCAGCCCAGGTACCCTAACTTGCACAGAATGTGATGATTCAGTCACAAACTTGTAAAACTTGACTCGACCATACCCCAACTTGCACCTCATGTGATGATTTAGTCCCAAGCCAATCAGAGAACGACAATTGGCAGCCAGGTGGCTGGCCCGGTCAATGCACGCACTTTTGATAAAACCCCCCGCTTTTTTCCCTAATTAACCCACACTCACTCCACCTGAATTAAATCAGCACACTCCTTTTTTATGGTAAAATGTAGCATACATTGCGGACGCAGATTTTTGACTCCGAGGTGCTCCATCCACTGAAATCCTCACGTGTCGTTACTTTGGCCTGATTAGAGGCAATACATATTCAATACACTAGCGTAATACGAGCTGCGGTACAAGTTGGCCCAAGAATTAATTACGTGTGTGGTGCAGTCTGTTGTGACCGAATTAATTCAAATTCAGCGCCAGGTGTTGCAAGCCATAATGAATGGCAATGACTAAAGAGGAAGCCTCACGTTAATTTTGATTTCAGTTTAGGACTTCAATCAAATCCGCTGAACAATGCATCTCGTTTATGATGGATGAGAGTCAATTCATTTGAGCACCTAATTATGTGAGACTCAGATAGTTGCAAAGACAAATGTTTCATAACATTTGGGTATATAATAAGAAACCTAAAAACATGAAACGTGATTTTTCCTTAAGCAAACGGTACAAAAATGATTTGGGTAGCACAGTACATAAAAATCTGCCTACCACGGCAGCTTCTTGGTTTACTTAGTATCCTGGTTACATAAATTACACCATTAACATCCTGGTTTACTTAATACTATCTTGGAAGAGAAAGATCTTGGTTTAAGTAAACTATCTGAATATGACCAGCTTCTTGGTTAACTTAATATTGAGTATATTGCTGGTGCCTTCCACGAAAGTTTACTTATTAATATCCTATTTATATGTCAAAAAAAAAATACTACATCTTAGAAGACAGAAATACATCCTGGTTTACTTAATATCCAGCTTCTTGGTTATAAGTTAGAAAAAGACATCTTACTCACAATTAAATTCAGTTTAG